AGCTTCATTTTAAAGTGAATTTTTGCGGTGTGGCGCTGTAGCGTTGCAGCAGTCAGCAAAAACGTATGTTTTGATGAGCCCTGATTTATATGTATACATGTATATATACATATACATATATATATGTACATATATGCCCAGGTATTTCAATTCGCCTCGATGCTGAAATTTCACCAGTGGGGTTCCTGACTAAATGCGACCTCAAAAGCATAATATCAATTTTCATGCACATTGAGTCTCGCCTGCTGGCACGTGAAAGTTTTGGTGATAAAACTGCTAGTTCAGGGACCAGGTAAGCTAGGAAACGAAAATTCTGGGGTGTTCTCTGTCCATGTGTGATGCAAAAACTTCACGTTCAGTTTCCATTTGAGATTTGATTATAAGTTGTGGCTGGAAAATTGCTAACTCGGGAATGAGAAAGCTAAAAATTTCAAATTTGGCAAGGGGGGAGGGAGGGAAATGTGTTCTGCTCAGATGTGATCCAAAGAACTCAAAGTCAGTTCCCATGTACGCCTATGGCTTACCTAGGGGCATGCTAAAATTCCGGCGGGAAACTTTCCGATTCGGATTTCGTCATTTTCCCCTACTGACATCCTATTCATTGTCTAGTTTGCACTTCCAGCTAACGATCGGTCACTGGAAATTATTCATTTCCCTTCATGCAAAGTTTAAGACAATCATGCATGCCGGGGTTAAGATTCCACGCGATCCTATGATGAAACAATACCGTTTCAGCCGGCATCGCTTCTCCCTCCCATAAATGGAAAGGCAGGAATATTGCCAACATAAGCGCACATGTGAAATTGCAAAGCAATAACCATTCATATTGTTAATGATCTGACTGCTTCAAGATTCGCGAAAAAACGTGTGATCGTACCAAGAAGCTTGGTGCATTGCTACCTAGACGTAGATCTCGCATTGTAGTCCAAGGTCACTGGTTTACGTTTGCTTGCGCTCTCCGCGCACTAATACCTCAGGCTCATATCATTTTCCGATTCTGCTTTTAACACTCATAAATAGTGATGCGCACTGAGGGGTGGGTGGTGGTTTGCACCTTGGAACAGTGCTTGCCGATGCACAGTTGGTGAATGAGCTGTTGATGCAGAAGTTAGCCGCCATGTTACCTAGAGGATTTATCGCATGCACAATATCGGAATTTTTGGCTCACAGCTTGCATTGCTTTGATCTTTTGGATTGAGATCAAAACTTAAGAAGCATCAGAGTGGGAGCCGAGCCACTCAATCCCGTCAGCCCCTTCTATTCGGGCTAATAAGGTTGCTCTTCTGTTGGGGCTTCTGTGTGTAACCTCTGGAAACTTTGTTAATAAACGATTGCTTTTGCTACGACAACAACTTAGGCTGCTTCCGAGTGCCTCCGCTTCTCAAAGAAAGCGAAAAGTGATTTTTTAAATATTTCTGAATTCTCAGTTTGTGTCTCGCACTGATTCTCGAATCAAAAGACAAAGGTGGTGACGCAGCAGATCTGCCGGTGCGATCACACCCTTTTGCATAATTTCACTGTCTAGTACCATTGAGGTGTAACTGCAGTGTTGCAGTTTGAAAATTTGATTGCGACTGTACGTAAAGCCTATGCCTAGGTAAAAGATAATCTTAAGTCTGCTGGCCCGCGCATGAATAGCAAAAACCCTCAGCAAATTGTTGCTTCCTACTTAGTCTGGCTGTCGAGTTAATTAGGTGCCAGCAGTTCCCTGAACTAAACGTTGCGCATGCGAACCTAGGCATGCTTCAAAGCTAAATTTAAAACATTTAGTCTGCAAATTGGCATAAAATATTCTTGTGAAGTTTGAACTTCCTAGCATGACTGGTTGCGAATCGTTTTTCGCTAGAAATATCTTTGACGCATCCGGACATGTGACATAAGCGAACGCCAAAGCTCACTTTAAGCCTGCATGCACACGTGTGGAAAAAATATCTTCACAAAATCGTTCTGGACCGCTTAGTTTCCGAGTTGGCATTTTGCCAAGTGTTTCAGTTTTGGTATCTCAATCTTAGTTTTGATGTGTCGGTATACGTAACGTCGGCATGCGTTAAATTCAAAATCTTTAGCTCAAACATGCACACAGGACATTCCTTTGAAACTTCGGCTTCCTATCCTCTCTGGTTTCCGAAGTCGCTTTTCTGCCAAGAAGTTCACATAAATTCCTTTTGATATCCATACGCGAAGCCCAGGTGTGTGTGTGTTTTGATGGCATATGTGTTGGGAACACCCTTGTGAAATTCCAGCTTCCTAACTTCTACGGTTGCTGAGTTAGATATGAGTGACAAAAATCCTAGCGCGTACACATACACATACACACACACACATTCAATAATCTTCCAACAAAATGCGTTTTTGCTTTTGCATAAAAATGCAGAAAAACGCATAATTACACTGGGTCTGCATTTCACGTCAGAAGCCAGAACACTGAGAGAGGTGTAAATTAATTTCAGATTTATGGCCTCAAAGGCGATCTGAGAACATGTTTGCGAAAACTCAGCATTCAAGTTTCGGTGGTTTTAGAGTTAAACTGCTTGGTCACACGCAGTCCCAATCGTATGCACACATAGATATGATTTCGCTATAATGCGTTTTTATTTGCATCGAACCGCAGTAGTGCAAGAACAAAGTGCTTGTCACACCTTTGGTTTTCTTTCCATTGGGCAGCGTCGGCGTGTTTTCGTGTGGCTGATGATGCAGCAGCTGTGGCGAGGAGCTCTCGCATTCGCCCTCCATCACCGTTTCTTCTTTCAGTGTCTTAATAAAAACATGTAAATTTACATCGAATCGTAATTGTGCTAAGATCTCTCTTGCCTTCAACATTCATATGATAAGGGAACGCTTGCTTCAAAGACTGCTTGGCTGGACAGCACATACACGGGTAGAGTGTACTGGGATGCGCAACAGTGAAACACAATTATTTCATACCGCCTGTATTACGTCTTCACAAGCTGTACTAGTTGTAGGGCTGCCAGCATTCACTCAAATGCAGAAAAAAGATAAAGTATTTGTCTTTCAGTAGATGTTATATTATAATAAAAGAACTTTGCCGTAAGTAAATTTCATTTAAAACTTCAATAAAAACTTGAGAACTGCAATTTCGAGCTTCACTAAATTTTTTTTCACTGACATCTATTAAGCGGTGTAGAATAGATGGCACTGAGCAAGTAGTGATCGGCAAGTAATAACTGACCGGATAGTGCGTTCATAGCGTAGTTATATTATATTTTTAATAGCAAAAAATTTCAAGCAGTTCGTTTAAGAATACAGTAGAACTAAATTTCTAAAAAAGAAAAGCCCGTAATATCTCATTTCTTGTTAGAGAAGACGTTCGGTAGTAACTCAAGTGTAGCCAAAAGCAGCAACCACTGGCTTAAAAGAGCGTCGATGACCCCCTCCTCGGCAGATAAGCTAATGCCGGTTTTGAAACTGTTGGGAAAAGGCCAGGTATTAATTTGTCTAATCAGATGAAACATGCCTTAATGGACTTCAGTATTTTTTTTTCCCGATGAATTATACATCCCGGACGTGTGGAGGCACACATTCGGAGAAAGAAAAAAAAAACATTTTCATAGACATGAAAGCGAGTAATAAATTAAGCACTTCTCAAAAAAAGAAAAACTGGCACAATAGCACACTAAAGCACGCGTATATTACAATATTTTCATCGAGACGAAGACTGGATAACCGAATCAATAAAGTTACGAATGCCTGGCCGGGATATTCAGCTTGCTGCAAGAAATTGTTGCTATATAAGCCGTATGGTACTTCAGCATGGCGCACTTCCAAACTATCCCCCCTCTGCTACGACGGTGTTGCTCCGTATGATTTACCGGTCGCTGCAGTTATGGTTACAAAATACACCAATAAATTATACAAAATAATTATCGTTCTGATGCACAAAATGGTACATGCATGCATGTAGAAACAAGTTCCACTGCCCAAAAGAAAACCTCAATCCACCTCCTTGTTCTTCGCCTCATGTTTATCAGCGTCACCGTTCTCATTATTGTTATTTTTATTTATCATTATTATTGTTGTCGTTATTATTATCATTACTATTATTATCAACCCCACTACCACAACTAACCCGACATCATGCAACCATAATAATGGGCACTGTAATTGGTTTGTATTCGCATGCATGAAACGAGCAAGCAATAAAATTGTTTCCTCGCTCTCACTATAAAATAATAATGATTATCTGCGTGCCTTAGCTACGTCTCACATAGTAGATTTGCCTGAATGGGAGCCGGCATTTCACTGCCGCGTGACATCATCAAACCACTACGCTACAAAAACAACTCTTCTCATATATGTATATATATTATGTCATGTATGTATATAAATAATATA